TCAGGCCCAGGCCTCCCATGCAAAAGAGATCTGTGATCTCTGTTGGATTTTGTCTTCGTGGTTAAATGAAGGTTAAAATAAATAAATAATAGTTGTTTTGCTGGAAAGAAAATTTATCGCCCATTTTCATTTCTCTGGCTGAAAAAAGAGGGGTCTCCTCTTAGCAAAAAGTAGTCATATGCAAGTATCCTTTAAGTATACTAATTTTAAACAAAAAAATATAAGAGTATACTTCCTATTTACTTTTTATGTACTTATCTGAGATGTACTTAACCAAGTTTATCTCACACTTGGCTTGAACTAAAACTATACTAGAAGTTTAGGTATACTTAGTCTATATTAATGTTTAAACTTTTGGCCAAGATAAACTTTAGTAGTACACTGAAAGTACATTTTCACACAAACTGGTTTATTTATAGTATAATTCAAGATTAAACTAAAATTATAYTTAGAAGATTACTTCTGAGTAAACTGTCATAAATTTATTGTGGGCCAATTTAGTCTTAGAAGTATACTTGTTAGTAAACTGTCACTTAAGGAAATACACTTTTTTTTACTTTAGGATACTTAATGACATGTATACTTATTTTTGGTAAGATTATAAATTTTTCTGTTCTTTATACAGATTTACGTTGGCACTCACTTCACAGCTGGAACCGAGAAGTAAACAATGCAGAATACAACAGGAATGCACAGCATGCACTTCAAGATATTCTTTGTCCTCAAAACATAGCTGTTGGAAAATAAAAATCCAAGATTAAACTACAAACACTGATATATCAATGGAACGTGTATAATATTAACTTGAATAGTGATGCAACAGTTATAGGACAATCAAGATTTCCATGAAAAATTTTTAGTGTTTCTAAATCTTTGTTAATACAATATGTGTCAGAAAACATGTCTGTAACAACTTTCCCTTGTTACCACAACAAAAACTAAACAAATGCTTCAATGATTGGCAAAAAACTGGTCAGACTTGACAACAGGTACTTTCTTACTGTCTTTTTGTTTCA